GGAAAGAGCCTCCCTGGAGAGCCCCAGGGAAGGTAGGGCCCTAGGCCTGAAGGAAAGGCAGGGAGTGGAGGCACAGGGGGAGCTGGGTGTGGCCGAGTTGCCTATTTCTGCCGCACCTGGGACTGACTCCGGTGTGGTCTTCAAGACAGGGCTGAGGGGTGGTGAGTTATGAAGTGCTGGGTGTGGGCGGCCCTGCTCTGATGCATCCACGTCAGGCAGGAGGGGGCTGGCATGCGTGTGAACACACTGCGTGTGTTAGGCACACCGTGGAAGTGCCACGGGCAGGGGCAGGGATGGACGCAGGGTGAGGGGTGCCCAGAGTGGGTTGGAGAAGGCATCTCTGAGGTGGTGACAGAGGGCAGGGTGGAGCTAGTGAAGGGTGGAGGAGAGTGGGGGTGAGCCAGAGGAGCTGCTCATGCCAAGGTCCTGGAGTGGGGGGCACAGCCTGGCAGGATGGGGAGCAGGGGTGCTGGGGGCGAGTCGCCAGCCCCAGTGTGTGGTAGTCAGACCTCTCTGGGGAGCTGGTGCTGGGTTTGGGGGGAAAAAGTGTCTGACTTACACTGGAGCCTGCGTGGGGAGAATGGGGCCGCAGGGAAAGGGAGCAGGTGCTTGTGCCAAGGCAGGGAGAGGAGACGGGGCAGAACTGCTGACTGAGCGACTGTGGGAACTGAGGAAGGGCCACCCAGTTCATGAGGGAAGCAGTTAAACCACCCAATCTCAGCAAGGTGCTTTGAGGAGATTCAGGGGACACCCCGGGTACCCCCGGGAGGCTCTGAGGGTGGGGGCAGAGAGTCTCAGGTAGGCACTATCAAAAAGAGAAGTAGGAGCCCCAGGGTGTGAGGGGGTACTCAAGAGTCTCCAAAGTCTCCCTGTCACCCCCACCCCCATTGCCAAGTAGGTTGGTGACAGCGGGTCACGCAGAAGACATATCTACGGCCCTCCCAGGGAAGATGCTGATGCTCTGCTGTGCCCATCTATCAAGGGAGTGCTGGGCCAATTATTCCCTTATTAACGAGGGGTCACGAGCCCACCCCCCACCATGCACTGGGTTGTCTGTGCCAGGGTCTGCTTTTATCCTGCGGGGTGTCCCAGGGAGGCCCCTGCTGCCCAGCCTCCTACCAGGTCTTCACACCTGACCAAGGGAAGAAGGCTTGCTGCTCGCTCTCTGCTGAGGGCCCCCAGGCCCGCCTCCTGCTTCACTCTCTCCTGAGCAGTAGTCTATGATGAGTACTCTGTCCACATGGGTCTTGGGACACCCTAACAGGAGGAGTCAAGCAGCATACCGCTGAGGACTCAGGGTGAGTCTGACACCTCACAGGGAGCTAGAGGAGGTGAGAAGCAGAGCCCGGGGGAGGAGGACAGAAGGCCATGGAGCAGTGTGTGCAAGAACGGGGGCAGGAGTGGCTGGAGGGTCTCTGATTAAGCTCAAGTCAAGATGGGCCTCCCAGAGGACTCCCTTTGTGCCTTTCTTCCAGCCAGGGGCCAAGCAGGTGGTGGAGCCCCGACCTCAGAGAGACTGAGAAGACTGGCGTGGGTGGGGCCTGGGCCTAGGCCTGGGCCTGGGGTCAGCCTTACTGCTACTCCCCCAGGAAGGGCCTGCAGGACGCAGGCCTGCCCCTGCCCACGTGCCTGTACCAGGGGCCCTGTTCGCCATCTCTGCCGCCGTCTCCCTGTGCCGTGGGCTCCCTTTGTTTGCCTCCTTGTCTCTCTCCTTCTCCGAACAGCCTGAAATCAGGTACCATTGGAGCGCTCTTGGCCTCAGTTTTCCCATCTGCTCAGTGGGGCCCTCCCTTGGTGAGGTAACTGACAGCACACCAGCCCCCTGAGAACGCCATGGGCCAGGTCGCCCCCAGCTCGCTCTGGTTTCTCTAGTCCCTTCCTCTTTGCCCCACCAGTGCCATCCTCTCTCCACCAGGAAGTGCCCGTCTACAGCCTCCCTGTTCCGCATCCCTTCGTTGGCTCCGGATGGAGGCATGCAGGGCAGGACTGTCTGGCTCTGTGCCCCTGCTTCCCACCAGCTAGGCCTCGGGGTGCAGAGGGCCCAGGTTGGATCACCCCTTTTCCATCTGCCTGATTTGCAGCTCAAGGGCTGGGATGGTGGCCCTGAGTCTTCTGGGTGGAAGTCCTCGCTCCTGGCCTTGGCCTTGGTGAATGCTCTCAGCAGGGACCCCATCAGGATCGGTTCCAGTCTCCATCTTCACTCTTCTCTCCCCTCCCCTCCCCCTTCCTTCATTTCTTCAAGGAACCTTAATTATCACACCCTTCTAAGGTAAGACAGCCTCCCTCTCTGCCTCTGGGAGAGAGCAGTCACTCGGGGCCACCATGGGAGCTCTGAGTGAGATGCCTGCCCAGGGAGAGCTGGAGTGGGGATGGGCCTCCCACCTCCCTGGGTCTGGGAGAGGCCCCACTCTGACAGCAGTGGCTCCCAACAGCACCTGCTTTGCTGATGATGCACCTGTTCCAGGTGGGGTGCCAACAGGGCATAAAGGTGTGTCCACAGCCCGTGAAGTGCAGGTGACAAGAATCAGAGGGAAATGCCAGAGAGGTCAGTTACTCGCACTACACGCGAAGTCAGGAACTCAGAGACAAAGGCGGTGGTTTCTGCTTGTTCTGTTTCTTGAGGTGGGCCCTTTCTTCCCAAACTGAACCTTATCAAGGGCTGTGACCCTCTGCCCCACGTTCTCTAGGGGTACCTGTATAGAGTTGGCAAGGAGAGGGACTAGGGTGGGTGGAGAAACCAGGAAACCTCCACATCCGAGTCCGAGGCCCAGGGGCCTGTGGGTCTGGGATGTGGATGTCTTCAGTGGCCGGGTCCTCTCTGGGATGGGTTTATGGAGGAAGGAGAGAACCAGTGAAAAACACAGGGGTTTAAATTAAAGCAGGAGGGAATACAGTAGGCCTAAGAAAGAATTTCTGTTTGTATTCAAAAGGCCGCAGAAGCTGCACTTATTTACTCCGCAGGTACTTATTAAGCAGGGATGGTAGACCAGCCATTGTCTAAGCACTGAATATGCACCTCCAAGCAGACGTGGACCCTGCCTGTAAACCAATAGCCAGGCCTAGCAGGGCCACAAAGCAGCAAGCGACTGAGGACTTGCTCAAGGGTGGCTGGTGCCGCTGATTCCTGAAGGACAGACGAGAATTTGCCAAGAGCATGAGGCTGCGAAGGGCATTCAGGCAGCGGGACAGCAGGAGCAAGGCTCAGAAGCAGAGGACTTCGTGGTGAGTGGAGCAGAGGGTGAGGGCTGCAGAGTGGAGCAGAGGGCTGCAGAGTGAAGGCAGTGCTGGACCGAGTTCACAGCGGGAGAGACAGGGTGGGTTGGGGAGGAAGCAGGCAGGGACCAGAGGGGAGGGCGTGTCAAGCCCAGGTGTGAAGGCTGGGTCCTGCAGTGATGCGTGGTCCCTGGAATGTGCAAGCTGAGACTGCTTTTGCTATTTGCTAGGACCGTTCCTGACGGCCTCCATGGAGACTGGAGACAAACAGGCAAGGTGACCAAGGGAGGTCCTGAAGTCAGCCATGGCAGTGGAATTTAAGAGAGGGACATGTTAGGGTCGGAAGTGAGAATGGATAGAATGGAGTGTTCTGTTAGAAGCTAGGGCCCCTTAGCAAACAGGGACATGCACAGAAAGGGGACAGACACCCCTATCCCACCCTGACAAGTGCGGACAGACGTGACAAACCACCTGCAGCTATACGGCTTGGTGGATAAAGACGAAGACCACACATGTGAACGGGACTGAAAAAGTCCAGGAAATTCTCACCCAGGCAGAGAAAGAGCAAATAACTTTGCTCCAGAACTTCCTGAAAATCCTCATTTCTGGATAATCAACTGCTCTTGCTCCCCTCCCCTTCTAGAAACAGCAGATCACTCACCTGGGCAAACCTGCTGACTATGACTGGCTACTCACTCATCCTTACCTGCTCAAAACCTTGGCTTGGTGTGGCCACAGTCCTGAACCATTTTATCATAAAAGGCTGATCCCAATCGAGACCCTCACGTTATAGGATTCACCTTCAACCTGTCCTAAAATACCCTAACCTACCTCCTCATTTCTGGGACCTCACTGAGACCGCCCGGAGGGGTGGGTGCCCTCTCCCATTGAGGCAGGCAATGAACTTGGCTTTGCTTGACCAGTGGCTTATTTTGTTTGTTTCTTCAGGGAGTCAGGAAGGAAACAAACACCTCTCAAGGGTCCCTCTATTTCTCGAAGAAGGCTTGAAATGTATGATTCTGGCGTTGTAGGCTTCTCTCACCAAAGGCCCTAGGATTTGGGATCCCCAGAGCCAGGTCCTGGGAGTCATGGGTTGGGTGGGGTTAGGAGTCAGGTCCCCACATCCACAGGAGAGCAGCCCTGGCACAGAGAGTGTCTCCATACTGCCTTCAAGGTGACCCAAGGCTCCAGTCGGTCACATCCTTACCCACCTCCCTCCTTCTTTCAGGGTTTTATTTTTGGCCAAGTAATTAGCATAGCTCTTCTCATTAATATTATATTTTAAAAAGAAAAGGTGCTGGTGAGAGAGAAAGAGGGCTGGAAGGGAGGGGCTTGCACATGCCAGTAATTGTCTTGACAGCCAGATCCTAGTGCAATGACAGTCTACTTTAAGTGGCCCAATTAGCATAAGAAACGGCTCGCCAAAAGTTCTGAAGGCATCGTGTTGATTAATGCAATTTATCTTGCAAACCAGCGGCAGACAGCTGAATCGCTGCTAATGATTATTATATACATTTATACACATTATGTACATGTGGCCTCCTCTCCCAGAACTGACGCCTCTCCCCTCTCCTCTTGCCTGTGCCTTCAGGCCCACCAACCCAAAATATCCCAGGATGACTCCACCTTCCTCACAGCTCCTGCCCAGGTTGCCAACTGGTCGACCGAGTCTTCCTCTCCTATCCTCTGGTGCCCCACACAGGTTGCCTTTGACGTGAAAGGTCTGGTTGTACCTTGATAGGAGCCCGAGTCAGTGTCCAGAAACAACGCTTTCAAGAATAATTTTCACTACTCAGGGAAGCAGCTCTGGGCAGCCAAACGACCGGTAGGTGAAGTTAGGACAGCGAAGACTGGACGCACACCAAGGCCTGAGACGGCGCCAGCAGCCGCGGCTCAAACGAGGGCTGTGTGCACCGAGGTGCTGTGCTGTCCTCCTCCCATCTCAGCCATCTCCTCGTCCTACAAGGACAGGGCCCAGATTGGGCTCCGTAGTCTCTCCTCTGGACAGGGCGGGACAAGAGCACCACAGCGAGTCACCAGGCAGAGTGACCGTGACGGCTGCCCGTTGCGGTGCCGGGACTGTCCTAAGAGCTTGCACACACGGCCCCACTTGTCCTTAACAACATCTGTCCTCTGGCTTTCTGCAGGAAAGAATCAGATGGTCTGGAGCCCAGGCAGCCTGGGCCTGAAGCTGGTGCCCCGTTGTTCACTATGCTCAGCACCCTAATTCAGCTCAGAATCAGAAAGGTGGTGGGGACTGGGGCAGGGACTGGGCAGGAAGGGCATTGGCTCAGATGGTTGAAGCTGCCCCTTGAGGTGGGCGAGGAGGTTAGGCAGGAACGGCTCTTGGGGCAAGGCCAGTACTCAGCTAAGAGAAGCGCCTGGGAATCTGGGGGGAGAAAGGGCCAAGGCAGAGTAGGGACTGGGCAGAATAATATCCATCCCCGGCGTGGCATGTGCTAGCGGCTGGGTTACAAGAATGAGCAACACACGGCTCTTTCCTGAGAGGCTGAGGAACCAGGGTAAACTCCACTGGGTGTACAGTTTTCCAGTTGGCTTAGGTCAGTGTGCAGGAGAGACCAGGGGCCATCCAAGGGGACTCAAAGGCTTGATGGCAGTGATGCTGTTGTTGACAGCAATAAGGACATTTGGTGGTCATGGTGGAGCAGGGCAGAGAGGCGAAGGAGTGGGGAGTTTGCTTTGAGTTCTACTCAGATTTCAGGTAGGAATGCCAGGTAGACCAGATGGGCAGTGGGGACTGGTTCTTGGGATGCAGGTCAGAGTTGGAGGTGTGAGTTTTGCGTTTCTTTCCTTGGGATTTAGACTTCAGGGAGGGACTACATTATTAAGTATCTGCTGTATTCTAGGTAGCGTGCTAGGAGCAGTCTCCCTTTCCCAACTGCTGTACAAACGGCTGTGCCTGTTTTACAGATGGTCAGACTAAGCCTGGGTGAGTGATCTGCCAAGATCAGTAAGTGAGTAGGCTTAGCCTTGCTCAAATGCTGTCCCACATCCATGCTCACCCCCCATCCCAGGGGTGAGGAGGTGGGGTGCAGAGAGCCTGGACCTAACCCGGGTGCCTGGGAGAACAGAGAGAGACAGCCCCTTAGCACATGACTAGGACACTCTTT